GTAAACCTGTGGTCCCTGAACACCAGGAGGTCACAGTAAACTTCAGACCTCTTTGAATCAGCTCTTATGAAAATGACTGTAGTCTCAGAAACAAGTGCAAACAGAATCCATCCTTTCTTAAAAAAAAAAAAAAAAGATCTATCTATTATTTACATACACTGGGATTTTGCCTGCATGTATGTCTGTGTGAGGATGCCAGATCCCCTGGAACTGGAATTACAGACAGCTGTGAACTGCCATGTGGATGTTGGGAATTGAACCTGGATCCTTTGGAAGAGCAGCCATCTTTCATCCCCCTCTCCACCCTCACCCAGAATCCATTCTTAAAGTTTTAGGAAGAAACCAAAGGACTGAAGCTACACACACTTGTCCCTCTGTGTGGTAGATTTTAATATTTTTTTTCTAATTATGGGTACTTGAACATGTGTGCAGAGATGCCAGGAAAACCAGAAGAAGGTGCTGGATCCCCTGACAGCCCTGTAAGGCACTAGGAACGAACCTCAGGACCTCTACAAGAGCAGCAAATGCTCCTTACCAAGCAGCCATCTCTCCTGCCCCTCCATGTCTGTGCTGTTAGCATCTCTTGCTCAGGAGGATTTGAATTAAAACAGAGGAATTGCCTGGTGGGAAATATTTTCCAACGTGCTGGGCTTGAGAGAATGCTAGACAGGCTGGAAGATCCACTGAAGTCAGTTCCTGTAGATTAATTTCTTGGTATTTTCTACCTCAACTCTCAGTAACTCCCAGGAGCGATGATTGGTGGTGGTGGGGGGGGGGGTAGAGGTGTTCTCCTGTGTAGCTTAGACTGATCTAGATTACTCCAGCTTCCTGCCTCAGCCTCCCCGATGATTGGTAAGAATCCAAATGTACATCATACAAGGATAATGGGTGCCTGATCACTTCAGTGGTGCCTCACCATTGGATTAGCAACATCTTTGGAAGTTGCAATCCTGCCAGGTCATTTTTCCGCTATCATCAGAACTGTATATATCATTGTTTCCAGGATGGGTGGCACTGTTTTCTGGTTTCTATTGGCACTTTGACATTCTCAGTTTTGAATGGCAGGCCGAGCAGCAGTAAACTCCGATTCTAGGAAACTTGGGCAACTATAAATTTGTTAGTCATATCTGTTCCTGAAATGGCCATTTCCTTTCCCTTGGAATTATCACATCCTCTCTTCCCTAGAGCTAAAGGGGAAAGGTGCTTTTGAACTATCTAGGATTTAACAATTCTCCCTCATCACTTTCCTCCTCCTCTCCCTGTCTTCCTTTCTAGAGTTCTGACTTTCCAACCTGCTCCCTCAATGGGAGGAAGGTGATAACTTGAAGTATCTGCTTGGAGTCACTTCCCTACTCCCATCCTTTCTACCAAAAGGAAGCAGAAGTGATTGAGAAATCCCTGGAGTGGTCCCCCGACCCACCCCCCAACAGCTGCCTGCTTCTTCCCTCCTCCCTTCCCCTCAAATCTCGAGCAGAGTCGAGGGGGGGGGGGCTCCCAAACTGCACAGTAAATCCAGGACCAAATGAAACCTGTAGACGCACTAGCCACGGGACAGAAGTCCTGGGAAGACCCGGGTTTAAACTGTTGTGAAACTTTCAGGCGACTGCTGATCTGAAACACAACTGGAACTAAGGGATCGAGAGCCCTGACTCTAAAACTCTTCTTGAGGCAATCACATAGAGAGTGGCGCTTAGGTGACAAATCTGGTTCTTGGATCAAGTGTATGATTGGGATTCCAGTTCAGGGCTACTTTCTCTTGTAAAGAATCCCAAGTAGGGTGGTGGGAAAAGATGGGAACAGAATGAAGGGGGCAGGCAGAAATGGCAATGGGGAAGGCACAGTAGAAAGCAGGGAAGGAAGAGACCATCGGAGAGGAGGGACAGCGGCCCAGAGAGATCCTCACCGAGACCTGGAGAGAGAGAGAGATTCCAAACGGGAGAGACTGAGGTAGGAGAGGGGCAGAGTTGGAGTGAATGACAGAGCGCCACCGAGGAATGAGAACTTTCTCTGTTCTGCCTCCCTAGCGAGGAGAATCTGAAAACCCCACCTCGGGAAGGTGACGCGGACCGCCACTGCTCGGGCGCTGAGGGCGCCTCTGGCCTCCGCCTCCGGCAGCTGGAGGGGCCTAAAGCGGCCAGTCCTGGCACCAGCGGCCGAGGAGGGGACAGGATCTGCAAGGAGGCGGGCCGCTTGCCTCGCTTTCTCCTCCCCTCTCCTCCTCCTGGAGGCGTGCACCCAGGGTATTTGAGCGCCCGCGGGGGCCCCCGCCCCCTGGCCCCCCATTCAAGAAGCGGCTCGGCTAACTCGGCCAGCACAGGGCGCCCGGCGCGCCTCGGAGCGCACGTTCCGCGCCTTCTCCTGCCCGCTGGCTGGACATTATGCGGCCGAGCAGCCGAGCCCCAGTCCTCCGCCTCCTTCTCCTCCTCCTGCGGCCCGAGCGGCTCAGCTCACGGCAGGCGGCAGCGTTGCTCAGCCGAGCGCAGACGGGACCCTCTCTGCAAGACCTCAGCGACTCCTAAAGTCAAAAAGTTGGCGGCAGGGCGCCGGCGTTCCGCGCGCTCTCCACGGCCGCTGCCTCGCGTAGCCGCCAGCCACCAAAGCCGGCAGGAGGGAGGGGGTGGGAGAAGCTGGGGGGGAGGGGTGAGGAGCACCATGCAGTTAGTATCCTGTGCCACACTGCTAACGCTCCTGGTGTCGGACCTGGCTGTGATGAGGAGTCCTGTCGCCGCGACGGCCGTGCGCAAGGACAGGCTGCACCCGAGGCAAGGTAACCTGGCTCTGGACCCTCAAGCCCCCCCCCCCGCGCACCCCCGCATCCATCGCCACCTCCTCGAACACGCTCAGGGGCGGGCACCGCGCAGCAGAGGCCTCTCTTCTTTTCCTAGAAAGAATTACCTCCCGTTTTGGAGCCTCCCTTCTCTGGGTCATTCCTAGCCAACTATTAAGGAGGGCGACACTGCAAGAATTTTAGGGCCACCCCTAGCTCTTTTTTTCCCCCCTGATCTTTGCTCTCCTTATTCTCTGTCCCAAATCAATGCTATTTAGTAGCTGGGATAACCGGAGTGCACACATTTTATTTTATTCAGGAATTTATCAGAACCTGTAATTATCTTATGTTTCTAGATCTGCTCATTGTCTGACTTCCAATGCTGTATTCTCAGCGCCTCGCACAGTTGTTGGCTATTACTATTACAGTGGGCGCTCGATAAATATTTGTCCAGAGGTGGAAAGTGAAAGAATTGACACCAAGGGGTTGCAAAATAAGTTAGGGCAAAGCCTCCCCCTCCACCCCATCTACTTTTGAAATTAAAACTTTCGCAGAAATGATTAGTTCATTTGCCTTTGCTTCTCCCTGCAGTAAAATTATTAGAGACTCTGAGCGAATATGAGATCGCGTCTCCCATCCGAGTGAACACCCTCGGGGAACCCTTTCCCACGAACGTGCACTTCAAAAGAAGGCGACGAAGCATTAACTCTGCCTCTGACCCATGGCCTGCCTTCGCGTCCTCCTCGTCCTCCTCTACCTCTTCCCAGGCGCATTACCGCCTCTCAGCCTTCGGCCAGCAGTTTCTATTTAATCTCACCGCCCATACCGGATTTATCGCTCCACTGTTCACTGTCACCCTTCTTGGAGAGCCAGGGGTGAACCAGACCAAGCAGTATTCCGAAGAGGAAACGGAACTTAGACACTGTTTCTACAAAGGCCATGTCAATACCAAGTCCGAACACACTGCGGTCATCAGCCTGTGCTCCGGAATGGTAAGTGGGCGCGTGTCCCTTCCCTCCTCCCCGCCTCCTCGTCTGCTTCTTTAAGACTTAATTGCACCCTAGTCTGAACCTACCGAGTCTATGCTCTGGCGTTAAATATCAACACTGGCCTTAAGTCCCGGAATTTGGGGAGTCTACCGCCGGGGTGCGAGCGCTTACACTTGAGAAGAGAGTACGCATCTGACCCCAGAGGGTCGTGGATCTTTTGGAGCTGTCTTGGGGGATGAATTGCGCTTGCCGTGCATGGCCCAATTCGGCAGAGTAGCTTGCATGTCGGTTTACAAACTCAGAGAAAGTTCCGGGGGTTGTGGTTTCTTGTAGCAAACTTGGCGGCCCAAAAGCGAAGCAGCTGAGCGCAGGGCGGACCTAACTCCTCATTGGCGCTTCCTGAGTCAGGGATGTAAACTGACAATCCCGGGGCACCCCTTCTGGAGTGTTGGGATATCTCTCGTTGTGGACGGGAGTACATAACCTAGTGTCCCCGCGTTCTTTCCTCCCAGAGCCTTTTATCACGTGCAAGGAATTTTGAAACTGACCCAGACTGACAGGGAAGCCAGGGAAGCCGATCCTGTCCCGGGAAAGGAAGGGTGGGCCAAGTACGCTGAGAGCCCGGAGTGAAGGCGGAGCCTGTCTCTAAGGCGGTGTTTGGGGGTGGGAGGTGGAGGGGGGAGGGGTGGTGCACTGCAGTCCGACTCTGCACCCTGCTGGCGTGGTGGCTGGAGGCGCTAGAGTAATAGGACAGAACCTGGAAAGGTAGCCTATTAGAAGAGTTCGTATTCTTCCAGAACCCGTAGCAGTTCCAAAGAACAGGAATAGGAATGTATAGCGCACGTTTCTCTAGGCTGAGTGCGAAGGACACCACCCACCCGGTGCTGCCAAGTGGGAACTTAGAGGGAGATGCAAGTTGATACCTCCAGCCCCTGCTTCCTGATCCCCCCCCCCATTTACCCTCCACTGGATCTAATAAGTCACCCTCCCCCAATTCGTACGACAATTGAGAGTCTAGTACAATTCTAGCCCCAACTAGGGTGGTCCTTCACTTTCCCAAGCGACGTGCGTTTCTATCACGCGTGTATGACGCAGAAACTTTCCCGCGGCTCGCTCTCCTAGCTCACTGAACTGCGTATTACGCACAATTGGCTATTAAAAGTCTGTGCCCCTGGTGCATTTACTCTCTCCCCTTGGCATACACCCTCCTCCTCCTCATTCTAAGTGGGGGCTTGGGTACTCACTCGAGAGTCAGGCTGCCACATTTGCTGGCTGGTTCTTGCGTCTTAAATTCCAGGTCTGGAGATTACATCCTTCTAAACCTTCCAAGAGCAGGATCCCGGCGGGAGGTCCTGCACTCCACAAGACTGGGAGGAAGGGAGGTTCAGCCTGCTGGAATGCGGGAAAGGGGATGAGCCCCTTTACCCACCAACTAAGTACTGGGAATCCTGAAGCCCAAAGTGCCTGGCTGAGATTGATTGAGGGTAGGCGGAGACCGGGAGGGGATGCTGCGTTGAGTCATCATGGCCTCAAACCTGGGCCTGGACGCTAGACTGGCTCCGATTTTTGAGAGGTTATCGCCTAGATAGGCGGAAAAGTCTTGAGGCGGATCCCAGAGAACCAGTGCACCCCTGATTCAAAGCTAGGGACCCCTCAATTCCTGGTTCTTAGATAGGGCTGCTGTGTACTTGGTTGGTAAACAGTCTTTACTCCTCCTCTTTCCCCGCCTACACACCGGTGGAATCCGAGTGGCAGTTGTATAAATATTTTTCAGCCTAGGAACTTATTTTCCATTGGTGGTTTTACATGGTAACACAGTGCATGTGGTCTCCTTGAAAACTTAGAATCCGGGCCCTCTGAAAGGGCTCTGTGGACTGTCCTAACCCCATTTGCATAACGTGTAATTTGCATCATGCCTTTTTGGTGGGGAGGGCTACATATACTTTAAAAACATGTGAACTAGGTTTTTGTATCTTTGGCCACAAAGCTAACTGTGAGCTTCCTGCCTTCTTTGTCTCCCGGCATTTTTATTTCTTCCCAAGGCTTTTCTTTATCATTTCTATAGCAGTCCCTACTTAATGATATCCCTGATTGCCCACTGAAGGCTTCCAGGAATCTGCTCTCTTTAGAGTGATCCAAAACCTGTACACTGGCCACACACACTCCCCACACCCGGCAGTTCTCAATTTTTCTGAATCCCAACTTGTACATTGGTCCCCTCTGCCTGAGAGACTATCTGAAGCTCAGTCTGCGCTTCCCTTCTTCGTGCACCCTAGGACACTAAGAAATACCTCCATCTACCTGCTTCTCTCCCCACTTTTCCCTCAGTCCCTGCCACACAGCCCTAATGGCTCAATAAGTGGGTGGCGAGATCTCATCACCACTGTTGTTCAAATAGCCTACACATCTCCTCATATTCTACTGAATAGTACCACATTCCACAGCTGATGTTTAAGATCCCTAACTTACATCCTCTCACCCACAGCCCCAAGTCCAATTTCATCTTTGTTTCTTCTTCTGAAATTCCCTATTTCAAGTAGTCAGCTTTATGGTTTTTCTAAGTTCTCTCTTAATTTCCTATCCCAGTAATATATCGCCCCTCCTCCCTCCTTCCCTCTGCCCCCCCCCCAAATGCTGGGTCTTGTATTTGCCAGCAAGAGAATTGCACTCTTGGGTCGACATTTTTTTTTTTCATTTCTTTTAAAGCGTTGTTTCATTTTTACTTCCCCACAAGATTCCATGGTCTTCCTTGTGGTATCATCCCTCTGCTTCAAAATCATAGACACTTGTCTCTCTTCAGATGTTCACTATGTCCTTGGTGTATGTGTTCTCCTCTTCTGTCCTAGGCACTTGCACCAACATCTATCCCTCCCTCTTGCATGCATGTAGACAATAGTGTGTTTATGTACATAAGACATATATTTAAACAAGTGGTCACCTCAGCAAACACAAGATAACTTGGGTCCAAGAGATAATTCTGGATCAACAACAAAATTAATCTTGTCTCCATATTGTTAACTATTTATTGAACTTTTGCTGTAATGCAATGACCCAGTCCTCGGAGCTGTCCATTTTGCTTGTAAAAAATGTCTGGGCCTTCAGAACTACCACCTTGCCCCATGTTTCATGCTGATAGGTGACCATGTTGTAATTTCACCTCAGCCTTTTTCATCCATACTTTTAACCATAAGCCAGAGGCCCAGTTCACATTCCTCAGGAGAATGACTAGATTCGTTTTTGTAGACACTGGTGTAAAATCAGGATTCTGAGTTGAAGAATTGGCATTAAGACTAGCCTGTGCTGTATACTGAAGGGTAACTTAGGACAAACCACTTTCCTGTGCCTCATGGGCTCCTTTCACTAGTCCTGCCTCCCACAGCCTTCCATGCCCTGTTACATACTGACCACAGGCTCTGGTGAATGCGAATGTGCTAATCTGCAGCTTCTCTGGTGATCTGTCGATGTGTCACAGACTATGCAATCTGCCTGAGTCTGTGCCCTTGAGTCCCTAGGAGAATGGCTTTAAAAAGTTGGGTTCTAGATATAAGCCTAGAAATTCTGAATTTGTAAATGTAGAGTGGCAACCCAAATCTTGTCAGCAACAGAAAAAATTTCTCCCAGACTGTCTCGGTCCTCCTTGGTTTGGGAAAACCATGCCTTAGCTTGGCATCTTGCATGCCTTTTCTTGTATAAGAACCATGGGAGTGTCTTGAAATTCTGATTCTTGGACTGATCCCAGAGATTTTGGTGCAGCACAGCATATGTGAGGCAGAGGTCCAGGCTCTCTGATCATATCTAGAGGATGCTGGTGTAGGTACCCACACCTATTCAAGGTGATCTTTCTTCCCATGCCCAGGAAATGAGAGAAGACTTCTGATTATTTTCAGCATGGGAAAAGAGAAGACTTTGATGTCTCCTCTGAGACACTGGCCATTGGGCACATTCAGTGTTCATATGACACTGAATGGTTCAAGCTTGAGGCATCGTGTGGATCATTTGCAAAACTTGTAGATATGTGAAGGGGGGAGAAGGAAAATGGTCTTTGGCAAGGTGTCTATAGTGCTTGGTAAGAGCAAATGGGCCTAAAACTAATGAACTACACCAAAAACCCACTGATCACTCCAAAGCCTTAGAAGGTTCTATCTCTGGGCTTCATGCATGGCTGGTTTATCCCATTTAACCATCACAGGTGAAATTGAAGAAGGAACTTTATCTCCAACTGGCAAATGTGAAAGCTCAGACCAGCAAGGAAGTTGCTCAAAGAGGATAGGTGTGGTACTGGGAATGCACATAGTAGACAGAGTGTGACAACACTGCCTTTCGGGGTATCTTTCTGCCTTGGCAAAGGGAACAGGAGGAGACCGTGTGTCAGGGTTATAGGCAACACCATCTTGAAGGCATTGTGACCATCATGTACCTGTTGAACAGGAAAGTACAAAGTTTTTAGGCAGCCAGCTTGTCCCTCAGCATTGCACTGGTGATTGTGAATTCTAGGCAACCTGAGCACTTAACACACTGTCCTTGAGCCAGGGGAAGAATAAGAGATTTGGAAGTTAAGAACAAAGGGAAAGCTAGACTTGGAAAGCAGGTGTAACATGTTGCAATCAAGTCAAGAATTAGCCTCCAATGTGGCATTGAGTGAAGATAAGCCACAGCTGCTCCAGGGTACCTCAACCCTCCCAGGGAGAGGGTGAACAAACTGCTCCTGCTTCTACCTGGGATTACTTCTTTCTTAAGTGTTGTTTTTGTCCCTCCCGTTGGCTGAGTTGTGTTGAATCAATTTCTCATGTCTCTAAACAGATGGGCACGTTCCGGTCCCATGATGGAGATTATTTTATTGAACCACTGCTGTCTGTGGATGAGCAAGAGGATGAAGAGGAACAAAATAAACCCCACATTATTTATAGGCATAGTACTCCTCAGAGGGAGCCCTCAACAGGAAAGCGAGCTTGTGACACCTCAGGTATTTGCTTCTTGATTAAATACAAATGCAATGTTGACATGGGTTCATTGCCACACTGCAAGAAAGCAGCGGCTTTTTTGCTGTTTGCAGAACACTACCATGTACAGAATGGTTTATTCGCTCCTCAGGTAAGGTAGGTATAGCCCCTTGTAAAGATGGAAATTACATTGGGGTTTTAGTGATTCACCCAAGGTTGCACAACTAAGAATGTACAGTCAGGATTCCAAGTCAGAAAGCAACGACTCCAATCCTGTGGGCAAAGCTGCCACTTCTGTGGAAGTTGTTGATACTTAGAACAAAGCTGTAACTTCAGTGAGCAGTTGTCTGTATTTTCTTGATGTCTTCTATTCATTTGGTTTCACTTTTGTTTTGTGTCATATTTGTAATGTGTGCATGCTGCACAGGGTTTTGCTTTTTTTGTGTTTTGGTTGGTTTTGTTTACTTTATAATGGAATTCACAAAGCCTGCTGTGTGTTTATTGGGTGGCTAATGCCCTGTGGTTTTAGGAAACCCAGAAATGGATCTGTGAGCTTCCTTTTAGGTTTCAGTCCCATCCATATATTATAAGCCCACTGCTGGATTTCACTCCATTCTGGATAGATTATCAGATTTTTAGCTGATATATGGGTCCATCCTTAGGAATGTATTTTCCTGGGCACCTATGGAAACTGGTGTGGCCTTCAGTCTGCAGTGTTGTTGTTGTAGCATCTCTTACTGACCTCTAGGTTTGGCTATTGTTCACCTGCTGGCAGCTTACCACTGAGTAGCATCCTTAAGATTGTTCTTGTGTGCCAAGATATTTGTCACAATGTTTTTAAAATTCTACTGACCTTTTGCATAAGCAAGAACTATTTCTTTCTTTATTCATTAAAAAACCCTTTATCAACAAAGTAGCTATTCAGAGTTTTCTGGTATCTTCTACAAGACTAAGACTAATGTGGAGTTTCGTTAAATGCTCCCTCAAGGATTTGTCAGCATCATTTTCTATCTGTGTCATGATCTTTCACAGTGATGGTGTTTCGTGTCTTCATCCCTGCTAGAGGTATTATTTAGAAAGTGAATCTTAAAAGATAATGTCAAACTACATATAATCTAAAAGTACTCAATAGCAAGAGTATCTATAGAATTATATATCTTTAGGATTATTGCATTCATTCTTGTGTTCTCACCATCAGAGCAATCACTGTTACTTAATCTCTGCAAAGGAATGAAGGAGCCAGATGTGGTGATACACACCTGGAGGATCATGAGTTCAAGGCTAGCCTGAACTACTTTGTGACTTCCAGGATTTCCTGATCTATATATTGAGACTTTGTTTACAAAGGAAAAAGGAAAAGTCCAAAAGTTGGCATTGGGTAGTTGTCCTCAGAAACAATAGTTCCAGAAGCTGGAGTAGTGGCAGGCCTGCCATCTTATCATCTACCAGCTAATTTAATAACTAGGACATTTGTCTTAGTTTTTTTTTTCTTCCTATAGTAAGTCAGGCTTATTTTAATTTCTCAAATACATATTAGCAAGTACATATTTTAAACATGTTTACATGGGATAAAAAGGAAATACATGATTCTTCCATTCTGTCTAATTAATGTGTTTAAAAGACAGGGACACGGTACTTGTGTTTAATGCACTAAAAGTTTATGATTAGTTCATCTCCCTAATTAAAACAAAGAAATCAACCCGTGTCTCTAAGGCAAATGGATGGAGTCATATTAACAGTTTTAGTCAGTGTCCAACCAGTTGGGATATTCAGGTAAATTAGAGTGTCACTACTAAAGTTGAATTTAAGGAATTAGTCACCCT